GTGCCTGATGGTAGAAACCTTGTCACACCCCTCCCCCCTTCCTCATCTTACCTGCTGTATTGGCAGTAGTCGGCGATCGATTATGATGGCTAGCCACAGTCCACAATGGACGGTCCAACAAGCGTGGTGAGGCATATGCGTGAGCTTCCGCCACTGTTGGCATCCCGCAACCGACACGACTGGCTCTATTCCATAGCGTATACTCGTGCGGTCATGGGTAATTCTGTGGAGAAACCTTGAAAGTGGTTGAATTACTGACTCCCCCCTCCCGCGCCGGTAGACGATTGCAGCTCAGTTCGGAGCACGACGGAGGAGTTGCATACCTCAGCAATGCTGATGGTAGCTGCGCAGCCAGGTGCTTGTTCTCGAAGGTGCCCGAATGCCGTAGAGTCAACTATGTAAAGCCGAAAGAAATTCTTCATTCATGGCTACACCTGTGTATTGACACGAAACGGATTGAAGATGCGGCGCTGCACTCTTGCCTGCCGTAGTCCGTTGGGTTGGGAGCCAAGTGAGGTTGATAGGGTTGGCTAATTCAGCAAAATTAATGACTTTGGGACCACGAGGGGGATGCCTGGCCAGGAGAGCTCACAGGTGATGCCGGTAGAGAAGAGGGGGTTGCAGGTCGGCCGCATAAAGGCTTTGAGCATGGTTCGATGGATCGGTAACTCCAGCTTGCGTCAGTGGACTTCGATTTGCGGCCAAACGAGTCAGGACGCAGGCGTTGGTTTTTGATCTAAGCGAACAGCCAACACGAGCTCCAACCAACAGAGTCTCGGTGAGAGTTAGTTGTTTTGTGATGGACGCCTTGAAAGCCGAAAAGAGACGAGGCGGCATGGTGGGAGACCACCTCTCTTCGTAATGTCCCGCGCGGAGGCTGCATAACCTTGCTCTGCCCAGACCTCAGAGCTTTAAGCTATTTTCAATCCAACTCGAGATAGTTGAGCCGACGGGAGACAAACTTGGTCAGCGGCATGCCGAGACAGTCAGGGGCAGGGAATGAGTGATGGTGCGCGGGAGCTGGCCAGCTGCCCGTAGACCATGATCGCGCCACCACTAGGGCTAGTAACAAATCGAGCGACGGCATCTTCAATCAGTTCGCCCTCGCTTTGACGACTCTGCTCCATGTTTCATCCGAGAGAGGAAGGTGGAAGGTCGACGACGTGTCCACGGTGGCGGTGATGTTGGTGATATTGCCCCAAGCCAGCCAGAGCTGAAGAACTGGCGCACTTTGGTGGTGTGTCTGGCTACAGGCACCTGCCCTTCGTTATGCTTGGAGACCATCAAGTATGTCTAGAGAAAGAGTCAATCGTCAAGTCATGAACCGAAATGACTCAAGCACCGACAGAAAGCAAAGACAGTCGTGTTGATGAGGTGCGCGAGAGGAAGAACTGGGGCGTCATCCCGAATCAATCCTGACCCCAGCATCACTTGCCTCCAGGGTTCGTCTCGTGACAGTTGTCGTTCAGAACCGAGAGCCAGGAGCCAGGAGCGTTGGGAGAAAAGAGGACAGGGAGGCACTCACCACGTGCAAGCAGTCGCTGCCTCATTGTACAATTGCCATGTGTATCGAACCTGCCCAGTTCCAGGTCCTGTCTGCCTGCAGCGACATGGCAGCCTATGTACTTGTACCTAGGTAGACAGGGGTAGGCGAAGTGGTGGTGATGCACTTGACACAGTGCGTCCGTGCAAAATGCCGCTTCTCATTGCTCTAGAACTCAAATCACAAGTCAAAGTCGAGAACGATGATATACCCCCACACACCTCTAACACTGTGTGCAATTCCCCAGAGCCGCCATATGCACAGTCCCTCCTACCCCTCAACCACCCCAGCTCCCCGTCACCTTTTTCACTCCAGGTACGAGGAGTAGGCAAGGTGATTGTCGCCCCCTTAGTCTAGATGCATCTTTGTGCACTACTTCCACTCACGAATGCAGTTGCCAAGTCAACATGGAGAAAGAGGAGGTTGAATAATCGATGAAGACAGGTATTCACGACCATTCAACGACATGGCAAAATTGATGTCATACAGAGAACAGGTAGTGTGGCAGGGGTTCCAGAAGCCAGGGCATCATCTCGACCCGTGTGTTGTTCAATGATTCCGATGTACCTGCGTTGGACTTGCCATGCAAGCTTGCGATTGCACTCACGTTGTCAACGATCAATCGGCGTCGGTCGGATCTCAACACCTTCTGCCCGGGACCAAACAGGCCGATCTCGACCTTGCTAGTTCAGGGACTACCGCAGAAGCCCTATTGAGCAGTTGGTACGGCTTGGGACTTCATTTCTTGCTTGCGCATGGGGCCGTCGTCGACAAGCTGGCTCGGCTCGACTCAGGCATGCCAGCTACCAATGCAATGCAGAACGAACACCATCGCCACGCCCCTCTTCGTCGGCGGCGTCATCCCGCCTTCAGATCGACATGGTCAGAATAATGTGATAGTGATGACCTCGCTGTCCCTGCGTTCTACAGGGCACGGCTGCAAACATCGCGGACAGCGGGCCGGGGAAGGGTCATTTGCATTGCACACACGCACAAAGTTGCGGCGGGTTCACTTTGTGTGCACATGAAAAAAAAGGAAAAAAAAAGGGAAACACGCACATCTATCTGGTACAGCTTGCAAGAGATACAGCATCCGACGAACCCACCGCACCACGTCGCCGCACACGAAGTTCTTGATCCGATGCAGCTGCGTCGCATAAGGCAGAGAGCCATTCCCCATGGCCGTGGAGCAGGCAAAGCTGGTCGCTGGTCAGACAGTCCGTTGTGTAGTCATCAAGCCTGCGCAGATCGAGCCAACACAGCGAGTCTCCAGATTCGATTTTCTTCTGCCCAGCTTCCCAGCTTCCCTGTCGAGGAGAACTGCCAATCTCATGCATCACCGCAATCAAAAGCAGGCGGGGGACCGGCCACGTCCATGACATGGACTAGCCGACGTACATGAACCGACGCATTCACACGCTGGCACGCGGTTGGCAGAGTGTCAAATATGGAGACCTTGATACACCGACGCACGCACGTACCCTCTCTAATTGAAAGTCAGATCGGGCCTGGCTGGGGACACCCCGGAACCAGACCAACTGATGATCGCGTTTTGACACTACCAGAGCTCGCACCGCGGGCATGCTATTTCTTGGGAAAATCGTCTCTTCTCTGCCCTCCACCCGGCCCTCCCCTGCATGTACATTGAATCCTTGTCCTTGTCTGGCAGCATGACTGGCGGACGTGGTCAGGCGCAGGCCGCTCAAGCAGCGAAGGAAAGGAATACGATGTCTTCTTTTCTCATCGTCCTTTCCGTAGCTCCCTTGGCGTGTTTTCCTCGTTCGATTGCTTTGTCCCTCGAGCCGGCTCAGCAAGCCACACATCTCTGGCGTCGCTTCTCCGGGCTTTTAATCAGCAGCTAGACTCACAGGGGCTTGAAGAAGGCGATTAAAAGAACAAAGGCATCCTAGTACTGGCCATGCCTGAACCAGTTAACCACGGAACACGCACTGCAGCGCTGCCATGTGTGACATCTTAGCGGTTCATAGCGCATCTCTGTTGCACAAGCTCGACGTACGAGACTACCTAGGTACCTACAGATTCAAAAGCAAGGGTCGACAACCTTCCTGCGAAGCACCTTTCTGCGTATCCGGTCCGAAAAGAAGCAGACAAGGTAAACCAACCTTGCCAAAGCGTTGCTGACCGCGGATTGTGATATCGAAGCAGGTTCGGCCTGGGCGATTGCAGGGAGGCTAGACTGCCTGCCTGCCTGCCTCCCCTACCTTGCTTTACCTGCCCATCTGTCTATTGTACGTACCTAGGTAGATTACCTAGCTCTCGCTTTCCCCCGTTACTTTCTTGCCTGAACACACATTTCAGACGGCACATGGGGGTCTCCTGCCTGCCGTAGGTGCAGTTGGCGCGCCTGCTCGCCACAAATCGGAAGCAGGCCCTGCAACCAGTCCCCCCCCCCCCCTTGCTTGCCTCGAGTGACCTGGGCGGGCGCGCTGTGGCGTCCAGGTAGTTCTCCCGCATCTTTACCGCGATCCCAATTAGGATATGACAGTACGTAGAACAATGGGGCAGTAGCGGGTACCTATCGCGGAGGATTATGAATATCTGCATCTGCCTTCACCATGCGTGAGCGGGGGCCCTCCAACCAGCAGCCCGTCTCTTCTCCCACACACAAGTTGTGACACGACCAACACTCGCTCATCGCGTAATATTCCATCTCTCAGCCTGGGTCAACCACTTCTCAACGTGGTTTTTCATCTTTCACCAACGATTCAACCGGGCCGCCCCGTACTCTCTGTGTTGGCAGTGGCTCCATTGGGGGTTCCATGATCAGACGGTCAACTTCCTGCCCAGGAGACCATCTCCAGTCAGCCCTTGCAACGGGATAGCTGAAATTGCCTGCTTCTCTGGACACCGGACTTGCCGTCGAGGCATTGCGTCAAGTGTCCAACACCCTGTGCATGCACGCACCTACCTGGTCAGTTGGGGGGGGAAACGCAGAAATACCGAGCCCAAGGCACGAGGCCACCCAGCAGCGACGGCAGCAGCAGCAGTAGGTTGATGCAACACACACCAGGGATCCCTTCCAAACCACTCACACGCACACACCCACACCATATGCACACACCTTGAGACGAATTACTACGCACCAACTACGGATCGTCTTCCAGAAGCTCTAGGTCAGACGCCACCCCCTCTACGCTGGTTGTCACCTGCGCGTGCACTCCTCATTGTAGCTAGCGTGGTCTTTTGTATCTCTTAGAAACCTGCGTCGACTTTCTGGTGGGAAGATTGAGAAGAGCACAAAAAAAAGTAGCCCGGCCCCATCACCCACTTCGGTTGTGGTGTAGGTTGTCGATACTTCTGCTAGACCCAACCGCAGGCCCATCACTCCACGGCCTCCCACCCTTACGCTCCCTGGCAGGCATCTCCCGCACCGGCGCGGTTTAAATCGACGCAGTATCCGTCTGGCCCGCCTGCAGGCCCCGTTGCCTCTGCATGTACCTCGACCGAGAGAGGTACAAGTCCTCTGTCTTCTGACCTGCGCCCGACTTTGCCATATTTCACTCCACCGCCAGCTCGCACACATCTCCCTGCGGCTGTGATACCGGGTCCTCAATGAACCAACATACCACCCAGTTAGCACCTCCAACATCACCACTGCGGGAGTGCAAGCAACCAACCGTCATCATCTAGACTTCCATTCGGCCCCGTCGGTGAAATCATTTCGCCCTATTGCACTTGCATGGTTGGAAAGGATTGACGATGGCAAACAAGTCAGCTCGCACCATTATACGTTCACTCTCAAGTCAATAGCCAATGTCTGGCTGTCGTGTCACAGAGTCATATAAAGGCCCAAAGACATCGCCTCTGCGAAAAAAAGAAATCCTTCGACTCCAAGCAGCTCCTACATCATCATCACCGCTGAGCACCCTGGCACCTTTCGAGATTCTTTTCAAGTCACCAGTCTTCAGCTTTACACAGCACGAAGACCAAACCTCACATCTTATCTCCTCAACGTCTCTCTTAAAGTACCCTGTTCCATTAGACGCGCCCTCGACCTAGTCACCGACATCCACCGGTCATCACCTTGAGCCAAAATGTGTTCCAAGATCTTTACCGTCTTCAGGTGCAACCACAGCTCACCCTCGTACCCTCCTGCCGAGACATCTTGCGCCTCTTTCAGGAGCGCCATCGCTCGCGCGAACCAGTCGAACCAGCCGGTTGAGAGCTGCCCCAACTACAACGAGGTTAAGGATGAGAAGGATTCATACTGCCCCGATTGCCAAGCTGCCGGCCGTGGATCGTAGGTTGGTAACCTTTGTATGAGCATAACTACATGACGATTCACCTAACAGTCTAAAAAAGACCTCCACCTCCCACGGTTCGCTACCGGAGTCGCAAGCTCTGATGAGGAGCCATCCCTATAGTATGGACC